CTTCGAAGTCAAAGAAGTCTGAGAAGGCTTCGAAGTCAAAAGCTGAGTCATCAGTGGAGCAGCCATCGAAGTCAGCTGACAAATCTTCGAAGTCGAAGGATCAGACGAAGTCACCCAAGAAGTCACCCAAGGTGAAAAAGGGCAAGAAGTCACCCAAGTCAGCTGACAAGCTACCAAAGGCTGAGAAACGCTCTACGGATGAGAAGGTGGGGGACACTGAAGGGAAGCCAGCCAAGAGAAGCAGGGCAAATGATGCGACTCCTAAAGCTTCTGGCAAGAAGAAGGCTCATGGTGCAGGAAGTTGTGAGGATCAGGAGGCCTTGCCTGAAAAAGGAGCAACGCCTTCTTCTTCCAAGGAATCAAAGAAGGCTGAGAATGCCAAGGAAGAAAAGAAGAAGATGCAGTCACGGAAGAGTTCGGCATATCATTGCGCGAAGAGCCGTGCTTTGAAAGAAGGAAAAAGTCCAGAGGAGGCACTTCGAGCAGCCAAGGAGGCAACCGGGCCAAAACAATTTACCAATCTTTCGAAACCCATTGAACTTGCACGTATACGCATACAATATGACCTGCATTATAAGTCCCTGTAGATCGATCTATTGTCCATGCTTGTCAGGCCTACGCTCGGACAACCTGAAGAGAGCTTTTGAGAGCTCGGGGGTCCAAGTGAAATCTTGGTTCATGGGGGTTGGAATCTTGCAATGCAAGATGATCGCTATAGATCTGTGCCAACATTTTGCTTCAAAGTGAGTGCACAAGTTTGTTCAGCAGTGAGCATAGACTCATGCACGCTTTGGATCACTGTGCAAAACACGCCAGCCTTTCTTCAGCAGGCTTTGCAGCTACCCCTTATTTAGATATCACTTCATCAGGTCTTTTGTCGCCGGCTGCCAGGCCCTGCCTCATTGCCCATGGATGGATGGGCGCTGAGGTCGATGATGTGTGGCAAGCCTGGCTGTTTATGCACATCTCATTTTGAGCGTCAATCACCAAATGCTAGCAAGCGTGTGCAAGTATTTTGTTGGCCACCTGCAGCTTTTTAGCTTGAAAGATTGATTTTGGATAGTGGCCCAGAGATGCTGAATCCCGTAGCATGGCTTCAACATGTCCAAGCTCCAAAGGTGCCTTCAAATCCAACAAATAAAAACACATTGGCCCGATCTAGTACCATACCTGGCCGTGCAGGTGCTTGTGGCAATAGCCTGGACCTCTGACTTCACTCGTTCTATGAGGAAACTCTTGCCTGTGAGCTCAGGTGTTGTTGCTGGGGTGGCTAGATACCCCTGGCAAACCGCCGGTGCAATACGATGTCCTAGATCTGTTTAGTGGCCAGCAAGCCATATCACATGTGTGGTGGGCGCCTCATGACTCAAACAAAGGTGTTTACTGTGTGCTTCTTTGTTCGACTTCTAATTTAAAACCTATAGCTCAGGTCTGAGCATGGTTACTCTTCAGCTTCCTTCGACTTTGAGAAAGACCCCAGAACACAAGACTTCACCTCTGCTCCGGGCTTTGGGTTTCTTGACTGGTGCACTTTGAAACAGCTGGCTTCTAGGGGTATGGTGTTTATAAACTCTTGATTGAGGTTAGCGTTGCTGACAGCTATGGACATGAATCCCAACGGTGTTGCGTGCATGGGACCTCCATGTAGCAGCTGGGGTCTACCAGCACGGGGCACCAGCCAAAGAACCGTGATGAACATCTATGGGAACATCTTCTCACATTGGGTGAGAAGCAATACAGCCATTGTATCCAGGTCCCTTGATCGTATTTGACTGTGGATGTAATTCGGTGTTGCCTGGTTCTAATGCCCACTATGAGCCCCGTGACCCAGGGCTGTGCTTCTGATTCTGGTACTCCTCGCCAACAACTGCCTCTTCATCTTGGAGCAGCCACGTCAGAGCCTGCTCAGTTCGCACCGGCGGTTCAACTGGTTGGTGAACTATGTTGCTTACGTGTCTTTCTTTAAATTAAAGCATTTGATATATTCTACATGTAGTACTTCTTACTCTGGCGTATGAGAATGATTCCTCTTTCACGACACAGTTCATATGGATCAAAGGTATGTTCTTCGACCTTTTGGATGCAGAAACACGGCCATCCATCACCAAAGCCAACAGTTTGCTACAGCAACATGCCGGAGATCTACAAGCTAGACTTGGGCAAGCTGACTAAAGTAGAACGGCTTGAGAACACAACGCTTAAGACCACAAGACTCTTTGATGAATTCTATTGGCTTTTTGGAGTGGGGGCTTGATCAAATCGTTCTTCATATATTTTGCATGCAGTGTCCAATCAAAAGTATAAGGACGCTACGTTGACAAGAATGGAAGAACCCGTTTTCAAGGGACAGAAGGCTTAGCTGCAAGCGCGTTGCTTGGCATGATCACGTGCACTCTATGCAACTCAAAGTCTTGGGATCCGCGCTCGGTGCTGAGGGCATATCCACGTGGCTTCGCCCAGGGGTTGCTGCGCGCATATGAGGAGCACCTGTGCAACATTGCAGACAAGGGCCGGCGAGACTTGAGGTTTAAGGTGCAACCGTCTCCACACTTGACAGAGGTAGAGCAGTTTAAGCTGTTGGACCTTGGTGATCCATGGGATGAAGCCAATTTGCTCCCGGTGTTCGAGTACCTGTTGTCTTCCAAGAAAGTGAGGAGAAGCTGACTGAAGGGTTTCGATTTGAAGTCATGAGTCATGAGAGTTTGCTAGTGGGGGCTGGTCCTAACGCCGACCCATGCCTTTTGACGTGTGCCCTATAGGATTCCAAATGAGTGGGTCGAGCCTATCCACAACTTCTATGATGAGTATCGTCAACGAGCTCCTTTTCACCCAATGGCTGTCATGAATATAGTGTGCTGTATGCATATACATGTGCGTGTGCCAGCCCAGGTTTTGGGAGATGTAAGCTTGCTGGCGGAGCTCATGAGAGAGCAAGTGGCAGTTTGACCCATTTGTGGCGCTTGCTCATTTGAAATTCAATAATTAGATCTTCGGTCAGCTCTAGATGAAGTGTTTTGCACACTTTGGGCAACTTCAGCTAATCTGGTGGTAAAAAAACACACCGCACAACGAGCGCACTTTTGAGCAAACGAGCGCACTTAGGCGCAAACGAGCGCAATTTGAAAAAGTGTACTTTTCTGTTCGAAGGTGATCGAAGGTTCGCAGGTGTTCCCAGGTGTCTTAAGGTGTTTGAAGGTGTTTGAAGTGTTTGGTTCGCAAATGATTGAGGTATAGTTTGAAGTTCGAAGTTCTTTTGCATCTTGCAGCAATTGTTTTGGCTGTGACACGTCCTAGTATGACTGATTCGACTGAACGCCTGAACTCGAGCACCACGCTTATTGACGGTATGGCGGGGATCAACTTTTCCGGCAACCCAAATGAGAAGAAACGGGAGTTGGAAGCGCAGATTCAGGCTCATCAAGTGTCCACATGAACGCAGCATGCATGGCATGTGATATCATGTGACCATGTGCTATATATCGGAGTCCTTTGGCAGGAATCCAAGTTGCGATTGGAGAAGTTGCGGCGAAAGTTGAGCAACCAAGCTGGGTTTGAAAAGCCTACCGACCCAGTCGTTCCTGGTTTTCTGGATGCAATTGGTACTCTCTAGCTATTAATTTTGACACGCATATATGGGGTTTGGTTTTGTGCATGTGCCTGCTATAGGAGCTCCTTGCTATGCTCAAAGCAGTGGAAGGTACTGCGCAGGGAACCCGGAGGCAATTGAAGCCAAACCGACACCTGCAACTGAAGTTGCTGACACGATGGCTGATTCACAAGTCGTGGAGATTCAGGATTCGCAGCCAGAGTTTCCGGAGTCGAACCATACCGGTACTACAGTTCCTGGAAGTCCGAGGTTTATTAGTAAACCAGTCCCACCATGCCCCCCAGTTCTCCCTTCTATCCCAGAGGGTGCCGCTACTGCGCCAGCCACCCCAGATCCAGTAGTCCCTGCACCTTCACCGCATGGAGCAACTTGGCCATCAGCGACAGCACCAGATACCGAACCTGGGGATTCGGTCTCACAAGCAGCAAACTCCCCACCCAAACGTGGTCGAGACCCATCATATTGGCAGTTTCTTGGAATTTGTTTAGCTTTTCATGCAGTTCATATAACGTTACCAAGCCTGCAGGTCACCCACCACCTTCCCAGAGTTGAGGGCAAAAGTGCTTGCCTACACCTCTCAGGATGCGGAGATATTTTCAGCCAAAGGCTGGGGGAGAGCTGAAATGTTCGCCGCAGGCTTTGAAACTGTGGGGAACGACGGAGGGACGTGACCTAGCTTCTGATAGCATGCTAGCATTGCAACGCAGTGATCCTATATAATATATTTTCTTTTGGCCCTAGGCGAGGAGCTCAAGAAGCTCTTCAAGGAGCATGGTTCATTTGCTTTAATGGAGGTCCATCTATCCAAGAAGCTGCAGCGGTTGAGAACGCAACGTGTTCAAGGTGGTTGGTACACAGAGTCGATCTTGAAGAACAAATTCAACTACAGCAAGACAGGTCCCCAGCATTTACCCCAGAAAAGCTAAAAGGTCGCAGGCCCCCCAAACAATAGCTATACTGGCCTTTTAGCTTTCCTTGGATCAATTTCGTGAGAAGAATGTCAATGTGGTTTGCACACATGGGGTTTGGTTGTTGGGGTCTGGGTTTCACCAAGGAAGATGTACGAGAATGCCGTGAAATGGGCAACCGCTCGCGGCAAGATCCGCACAAACCCTGTACATGGTGAACAGGAGTTGCAAATTCCCTTAGAGGAAACATATTCTAGGGAGGACAATGAGATGGAAGAGACCACTCGCCAGGGTACCATCGAGGTTCAGGCTGGGTTTGACATGTCTTGACATGGAAACCGTCCCTTACGTGATCTTTATAACGTTTATAAATATGATGGATTTGTCTCTGATCGTTTCAAGTGAATACCCAACCCCTGGCCTTCAATGTTGAAGTTTAACTTCGACGTGGATAAGGTAGATGTTTTACTAGTAAAACATCGACGTAACTCAAATACCATGTTTTACTTCGGCCCTTTTGGGCCTCTACATTACAGCCCATGTGGCTCAAGCCACCCCAATGAGGAAGGCCCTGCGAAAACGTCAGCTTCTCAGTGAATTTGTACCTGTTTTCGCTCTGGTGAGCAGCATTTCCAGTCTCGGTTCAGGAAAATGGATGGAAGATGGTGCATTCGAAGGTGCCTCCACGCTTTGGTTTGCACCTTTCTTTTATGATATCTCAAATCTCTCGATCTCTTTCATTCATTCTTTGATTGGATGCTGATCTACATCTTTGGTTCAAGAGGCCATCAATCAACAGGACAATAAAGACGTTGAAATTTAGATTTCAACACTGCACCATCTTGGTCCCTGCCCAAAGTCTCAGCTTCCGCAGCGATGCCATCATCCAAGCCTGACAAAGCAAGGGTGGATTTGCTGAAGGCCCACCATCCCAGCTGTGAGTTAAGCAGGGGGGTCAGGAGTGCTTGAGAGTTTCTTTATTAAAAAAAATCAATCTACCTTATCTAGTACGTACTAGCTAGATTAACCTTATCCACGTCGAAGTTAAATCTCGTTTGAAGGCCAGGGTGTAGTTGCTCAAATGCAGGAATTCTACACGGAGTTCCTGACTGGGTCCTATCGTGAAGAACGATTTCGGGCTCTAGGCAAGAGAGAAGATCTTGCACCACACAAAGTGGACAAGTATTTGGAGGAGGGGAAGGTGCTTCTCTGAAACCGAACTCAGAATTTACCCGGCTTGAGTTTGCAGAGTTTGAAAGCTTGTGTGACTTACACTGGCGCTAGGTGCCACCAGTGAAATTCAGCTTCATGAACCTTCACCCCAAAAAAGGCCTCAATGAGGATGCGGTCTGCCCGGCCATACTTGAATCATGGGGGTCGTTTGCATTGCACGCATCAGGGAATACCGTGGGAACGTGTTCAATCACTGTGGCCAGATCCAGTCCGATGACAACACGACATTTGCCATGGAGTGGTTGCCACTTTTTGCCTTGGATCCCCCAACTGAGAGGGAGGCTAAGGACGACCCTTTCATGAACCCAAGATTCAGGATATTCTGCTTGAAATGTGAAATGCGGCTAGGAAGCGCTTATGGATATTGCCTATGATTTCAAGCTTGTGGACTTCAAGGTTACCGATGTACAGGCCACCTGTCCAATACAATTATTACATAAACAACGCAAAAAATGAATCGTTGTTCATGCCGATGCTGGGTGTGCACACTCCCAATAAACTGAGGAGTGGGCAGAAACCGAAGGTAACCTTCACAGGCTATTAGCAAGCAAACTGATGTCAAACTATGGGAGGTCTCCCAATGCAAGGCCAGTTGAATGTCACTTCATCAATGCATTTTTTGCAGGACTTTGAACCCTAATGTGCGTTTGTGTTTGTTCCAAAGCTGGTTAGGACAAAGGATTGCAACATGACCAAGTTGAAAAAACTGATAAGTTTTATCTACGAGGACCGTGCAACCTGATCCTTTCAAACCACGATCTTGCCTTCTCCCTGTATTGACTTGAAACTGTTTGTAGGATGCTGGTGTTTCCAAGCGGACGAGATCTATAAGACAATGGAAATCAGCAAAGGCAGGGTTAAAGCAGGGGTCACCTGAACTAAAGCCAACAAACCCATAAAGTTTTTGTGTCTCAAATTTGCTTGCTGGTATTGGGGTTTACCAGAACCACCGAGTTGTGGAGGACAATGAAGACTCCAAAGCGGACGAGGCAAAGGAGCGAGAGGACAAAAGACCAGAGGACCAGACTGCGCTGGAGCTTCAGAACAGTGGAACTGACGAAGTTGTCATCATTGAGGAGGAAGAAGAAGAAGAACAGTTTTCCGAAGATGAGATGGTGGATCCCACAAAGAAGGCAGAAGAACGACGGAAACCTGAGGAGGAGGCAAAGGAAGCAAAGGATGCAAAGAAGGCAGAAGAAATGAAG